CTTGACAAATCCATGTTGTCTATTATTTACACCTTACTGTTCTCTAGATGCTTACAAATTTGTTGTTAAACAATTTGTTCCAGTATCTTTCTGGGTATCAAAGTTAGGGTGACTGGTCTATAATTCCCCGGCTCTTCCTCTCCTCCCCCTTTTAAATATAGGTACTATATTTGCCCTTTTCCAGTCCTCTGGGACCCCACACCTCTTCCATGGGTTCTCATAGATAATTGCTAATGGTTCAGATATTGCTTCAGCTAATTCCTTAAGAACTCTAAGGGAAATCCATCAGGCCCTGTTGATTTGCATACATTTAACTTATCTAAATAATTCTTTAACCTGTTCTTTCCCTATTCTGTCCTGTGTTCCTTCCCCCTGGTTGTTAATATTAATTTTGTTAAGCATCTGGTCACAATTAACCTTTTTAGTGAAGACTGAGGCAAAAAAAGCATCAAACATGTCAGCCTTCTGTTTCATCCATTATTCACTCTCTTTCCCCGTTATGGACCTAAACCTTCCTTCAGCCTTCTCTTACTTCTAATCCATTTACAGAATCTCTTCTATTGCCTTTTACATCTCTTGCTAGTTGTAATTCATTTTGTTCCTTAGCCACTCTGATTTTGTCCCTATAAGCTTGTGCTATTCTTTTATAGTCATCCATAGCAATTTGTCCAAGTTTTTACTTTTTGTACTACTCCTTTCTGATTTTCAGGTCATTAAAGAGCTCCACATGGAGTCATATTGGTCTCTTATTGTTCTTCCTGTCTTTCCTCTGCATTGGGATAGGTTGCTGTTTTGCTGTAAAGTTTGTGTCTTTTAGAAAGTGCCAGATCTCCTGAATTCCTTTTTCCCTTAGATTTCTTTCCCATGAGCCCTTATCTACCAATTCCCTGTTTGTTGAAGTGTCCTTTTTTGAAGTTGTCTTTATTCTGCTGCTCTTGCTCTTTTTTCCTTATAATCATGAACTCTGTCATTTCGTGATCAATTCTAAGTTGCCTTCTCCTTTGAGATGCTCAACCAGTTCCTCCCAGTTAGTCAGAATCAAATCTAAAATAGCCACCCCCTTACTTTTTCTGCCTTCAAAGATTTGTCCATAACACATTCTGAGAGTAGCTCTACTACACTGTACTCCAAGGAACGCCCCTGTCCTGCCCCCAACATGCCCTCTATGTTGGCTGGGGAGGGGCCTGCACAGGGCATGTTCTCTGGGGTCAGTCCCCCATCACCTTTAAGGCCCTCTGGTGTAACTGAGGAGCAAGAGCAATAGGCAATCTCTTCCCAACAGAGTTATTTATTCCTATTTCCTCTCTGTCCCTAGGAGGAGAACAACCTACAGGCGGCTTATCATGGCCAGATGACTGAAACTGTCCAGCTGGAGGAGAGAAACATCTTCTGCGGCTCCTACAACGTTCGTGTCCTTACAGACCAGTATGTACATGCCACGCACCCTTGCTTCAGTCACCACACTTAGCACTGGCAACCCCTCTCCAACTCTGGGGATCTCAAAGCTCTTTATAAACCTATAGGGCCAACTGGTGGCTTCACCAGGCCAGTCATGTCACCCAGGGATTCCTGCAGGTGCCTTGCCTCCCCTTAAATCCTGTTTTCACCAGTGGGTAGCACAGTTTGCATCCACACTACACTATTGGTCAAGTGGTCTACAAGGGTGTTGCAGAACTATATCCAAATCCTGCTAAAAGGACTAGCCTTGACTGTGCCTCTGCCATCAGGCTGTTCAGGGAGAGTTCCCTGGACACTCTAAGCTGGCAGTTAACTGCATAGGAACCACATCGCAAAATCAGCTTTCAAAATTAGCGAGGCTTGGAAAGAGCTTTGCCTAATGGTTAGGCACCAGAATGGGAGCCCAGAACTCCTGCATTCTCTTTCTGGCTCTGCTGCAACTGCTTCTGAAGTGAGTCACTACAGTTTCCCAATCAGTAAAATGGGGGTAGTGTTTGACAGGAGTGATCAGAGAATGTCTGGGAAATGCTTTGAAGATACTGGGCCTAATTTTTGCCTGCCTTCATTCTGTTAGAGAGACAGGGCGGGTGAGGTAATATCTTGTAATTGGACCAACTTCAGCTGGTGAGAGAGACAAGCTTGTCTCGCTAATATCCTGGGACCAGCAGAATGTAGCTGATCTGCCACTGCTAGCAGCAAATGGCTGCTGATGGGACACTAGATGCGGTGGGCTCTGAGTCACTACAGAGAATTCTTTCCCAGGTGTCTGGCTGCTGGGTCATGCTCAGGGTCTAACCGATCACTATATTTGGGGTCAGGAAGGAATTTCCCCCCAGGTCAGATTGGCAGTGAGTATGGGGGTGTTTTGCCTTCCTCTGCAGCATAGGGCATGGGTCACTTGCAGGTTTAAACTAGTGTAAATGGTGGATTCTCTGTAATTTGAAGTCTTTAAACCATGATTTGAGGACTTCAGTAACTCAGCCAGAAGTTCGGGATCTATTATAGGAGTGGGTGGGTGAGGTTCTGTGGCCTGCAATGTGCAGGAGGTCAGACTAGCTGATCATGATGATCCCTTCTGGCCTTAAAGTCTATGAGTCTATGAGACACAGCTACAACAACTCTGCACTCTTTTGTCATTTTCACCTGTGCAGCAGGGCTGTGAAACACCACCAGATCAGAATGATAGTGTTTTACACCCACTTTGCACTAGTGAAAATGAAGACACGAGGTACAAGCCAGGGGCGAATCAGGCCCAGTAAGTGCTGAGTATTATTAGTGCACAAGTGTGGACAAGGCTATAGTTTCCAATGCATATTTATTTTTCTAAGGGTAACTGTTGCTGTTATTTATTCCAAGTTTTGATGGAACTAGTGTAGAAGTCCCTGCATGAAAAATAAGGTTCACATTATTTACAGGGTGTTTAACTTACTCATGATTTGCGTCCAAATTTCAGGGTTCGATTCTGCCCCTCTTACGCATGCCTTCCCCAATATTAGTTTCACTGGAATCAGTGGAAGTATTTCTATAGTAAGGTACTACCCAATGTGACCAAGGGTAGCAAAATCTAATCCCTATGGAGCACCTTCTGCCACCCATTACATATGCAAAGCAGGATTAGAACTCAGAATCTTCTGCTCCTATCACTTATGCTCCTGCCAAATGATCTAAAGGAGGAGACTCCCTTTTGACTGTATGCACATATGAGTCGGTGTATTTATATGAGGATCCAGCTTACTGTGTGTACAAGTCAGTTTGTGAGTGTGAGTGTGTGTGTAGAGGGGGGTGGGGGCGATTGTATCAGCCTGTGTGAGTCTTGGTGTGTGCGTGAGGCTGTGTCTTAGCTGTGTGTATGTGTGTGTGTAAGGGTGTATCACAGGATGTGTGTCTCAGTATGTGTGGACATGTGTATAAGCAAAACCTGAAATATGTATATTTCGATACATTGTTGCTGCAAGAATTGGCATTTAAAAAAACTGTGTCCGGGGAACCCTGACCCCCAAACATGCCCTTGTATAAGGGCTTTATAGTGACTCAATTTCAGAAATAGTGGGGTCAGCAGTCCCCAGTGGGTCTCATCCCCTTCCCCTCTATGATTTATTCTCTATACCAGGGGTCGGCAACCTTTCAGAAGTGGTGTGCCGAGTCTTCATTTATTCACTCTAATTTAAGGTTTTGCGTGCAAGTAATATATTTTAACATTTTAGAAGGTCTCTTTGTATATGTCTATAATATATAACTGAACTATTGTTGTATGTAAAGTAAATAAGGTTTTTAAAATGTTTAAGAAGCTTCATTTAGAATTAATTTAAAATGCAGAGCCTCCTGGACCAGTGGTCAGGACCCAGGCAGTGTGAGTGCCACTGAAAATCAGCTCGTATGCCGCCTTTGGCATGCGTGCCATAGGTTGCCTACCCCTGCTCTATATACAAACATCAGCTGAAACCTTGGGTCTCAGTAACCAGGGCCATCCCTAGCTATCTGGTGCCCTACGCAGCCTCCTCGCGGGGGGGGGGGAGGTGAAAGAAGGGAGGCTGGCCCCAGGCCTCTGTGGGGGAAGGCCCCCACAGGCGGGCAGGAGCAGACTTGGGGGGCAGGGCGGAACCACCCCCCAGCAGGAGTCGGCAGAGCGGAGCGGGTTGGGGCCGGGTTGCTCCACTTCCTCCACTTCGGGCAGGCCCGACCTCGCACTCATCAGGCGGCGGGAAGTGGAGCAACCCGGTCCCAGCCCATTCCGCTCTGCTCCCCTGGATCCCAGCCTTGGGGCTTGGGGGGGTGGGGGGAACCACGCCCCCAGCACTCACCAGCAGTGTGGATGGGAGCCGGCGGCGCGGAGCAGGCTGTGGCCGTCTTGCTCCACTTACCACCGCTCAATGAGTGCAGGATGCCCGACCTCTGCTGCAGTCCTCAGGGGAAGGGGTGGAGTGGGGGCAGGGGCATAGCAGGGGCTAGGGGAAGGGGTGAAGTGGGGGCAGGGCTGGGGCAGAGCAAGGGCAGGAAGAGGCAGGGCAGGGGAGGAGCGGGGCAGGGGCTTGGGGGAAGGGGTGGTGTGGGGAAGGGGTGGAGTGGGGGCGGGGCTGGGGCAGAGCAGGGGCATGGCTATGGGGAAGAGGCGGAGCAGGGGCTGGAGCAGCACGCAGCTGTGTAGGGCACCAGGAAATTTGGTGCCCCTAATTTCTTGGTGCCCTACGCAGCTGCGTACTTTGTGTATGGGTAAGGACGGCCCTATCAGCAACCCTCCCACTGGCACCTTGAGGGGTTCCGGGTACCTTTCCAGGATAGCCCATCAATTCTGTTCACTGAGCTGAGATACTGCAGCATTGAGCACAATAGAGGTGCCTGTAAATAACAGCCAACAGTGCTTTCCTGGCTAGCCCTGTAATGCTTCGGCAGATGCTCTCCTCAGTCTCTGCTTGCTTACCCAGGTCAGATCCACACAGGGTAATCCACTACAGTGGTGGGAACTTGCTTGCCATTGGCTCACTGGACCGCAAAGTCAGGTTCCTTGACGTGTTGGAGCTGAAGGAAGTGCCGCCTGTGATCAGTGGCCATGCTGGGAGCATCAAGGCAGTGTTCCTCAATGAGAAGAAAGGGTTCGTGCTGAGCGCGAGCTTTGATCTCAGCATCCGGTGAGCAGTGCTGATACAAGGGTCACCGGGCAGAGTGATCCAGTTTGAAATGATCTAGTGAAAGGAAATTTTAAGCATAAAACCCAAAACCAAACCCAACATTGGGCATTTTTTCCAGAATCCTCCCCTCCCCCCATTTTCTGACTGTAATAAGGAGAGAAGAAAAACACATCATAGATATCCTAGTGTATTCCCTTGCTCACGCAGGACATTCCCCCTCTGTGCTTTCCCATTTCATCCAGTACTGGAAGAAGAAGTAGCAAAGTACGCCAGGAAAACCGATTGTTGCGATATTTCTAAACCAGAGACATTGTTTCTGATTAGCATCCATGGTGAAATCCTGGCCCTGTTTAAGTCCATGCCAAAACTCCCATTCAGTACAATAGGGCCAGGAATTCACCCCTGAAGTTTGGGAGGCTTTTTTTTTAATCTTCCCATCATTTTGATACCAACTCACTGCCGTGGTATCTGACCACCTTCCAGTGCACTTGGAAGAAGGTATAGAGGCAGCTTTACACTACGCAGAGGCATACACTGGTGTAGGTCAGGATCCATGTCCTCATTGAAGTTGGGGAAGGGGAAGTCTTATTATGTCATCTCTGTCACTAATTCTTAGGATACTAATAATCTGCTGCCACGATAGCCCTGCATTATGCCCAAAAGCGGAAACCCAAGTCAGGTTCTCCTGCTCTGGGATGACAATGGCAGGGCCTTTTTCAAAGGCCACATCAGTCTAATAGGAGGGGAAAGAGTCTACACAGATATGGAGTCTTTGTCTCCCACCTGATTCAACATGGGATGGTCTTTGCTGTATCCATGTGCTTGGGTTTTCTCAGTGAAGCAGCTGTAAGTCTTCTTGGCAGCTGCTAGATGGAAATGGGGCTGTCTGAAGGATTGTTACATTTGGAGGTCAGAGGTAGCCACTGCTGGGTAGCCAGAGAAGCAATCCAGATGTATGTGACCATGACGGACCTGGTGCCAGCAGAACAAAATATAAGATCGAGTATCTAAATATTAGGGCCTGATTCTACTGCCCTTCCATCGGGCTTTTATCAGTGTTACTTCACTGACCTCAGTGGAATTACTCCTGACTTACACCAGCGTATATGCGAGGAGAAACAGGCAATAATAACAAATAAGTCATTAATTAACAATTAACAAATCACAGGATTCTCCCCTTCTTGGCCCTTCCTCTGCAGATGCTGGAATATATTCACTGGGGCTTGTGTGAAGATCCTTAACGGTCACTCGGGGACCATCACCTGCCTGGATGTGTACAAAAACAGGGTTGTGTCAGGAGCAAGAGACTGCATGGTCAAAGGTGAGCAAGCAATCGCCGAAATAGCCCCAAGGCTTTGATGGGGGGGCCACCGCCAGCCACATTCCAAATCCCAGCGGTAACAGCAAAGGGGTTTGGATTGGCTTAGACCAGCAGGGAAAGTGGCCCAATATGTATCTTTATAGCACAGACAGTGTCTGACCCTGACAACCAGCATGGAAACCAGGGGGTGGATTTCAATCTCACAATGGAGCTTAGTTTGCTCTGCAAGCAATGGCCACGCATGCAACTCCTATTAGAGTGGTTTTATAAAATATGAATGGCATTGTGGTTATGGCAATGGGACTTGAGAGACCTGGATTCAGTCCTCAGCTCTGCTACAGACTTCCTGTGGTGACCTTAGGTTCTCACCTGTGAAACAGGGCTTATAATGATACGCCGTTGCTTTCTCTATTTAGATTGTGAATGCTTCAGGGCAGGGTTTGTCTCTGTGCAGCACCTAGCACAAGGGGGTTCTGAACTCAGCTGGGGCCTCTAGGTGCAACTGTGACTCAAACAATAATTTGTATTCACATTTTCCGGAGTGATACAGACAAATAAATGTGGACATTATGTATGTTTCTCCCTCTCACTCCTAACAGTGTGGGATTTAAGCACCGGGCGATGCATCAAAACTTTAAAACACAAAGATGCCATTTGGACAGCTAAAATCAACAACACCCACATTGTGAGCGGTTGCGAAAAAGGGTTGGTGAAAGTGTGGCACGTTGATACATGCGTGTTGATCAAGGTATGTTTCTTCCTAATCGTAGTGTGTTCTGGAAATGTATTTGGGTGTTTCCTCTCTGTGTGCTGTCCCAGCTCTGAGCAGCTACCTGGCCCAGCAGACCTCAATAGTACTACCTAGAAAGACCACAGACTCGGTTCAATGGCGAAGGCGCTCGGCAAGGTTTATTGTCAACAAAGCACAGTACTAGCTCCCTGAATCTATGTCTATGGGTACACTAACACATGTAGGCCTGTTACAATGGACTCAGCTCAGTCAGCAAGCAGGACTCTCTGCTGCCCCCTGGGCTGGACAAAGGGTTAAGGCGAGGTACCCTGGCATTTATAGACTGAGACAAACAACTGGAAAAAACATCTTACACACCACCTTATGTGTTTCATGACATCTGTTTGTTATCTCCCCTCGTTCCTGATATCTGGAACAAAACATCCCTATTCATTGTTTTGTCAAACCATCTTATCTTATACTAGATGGGGGATGTATCTGTACTAGCTGGAATATATTTATGCAAATATCTAGAGCCTAGTACACTAGCAACAACTTTGCCAAATTCACGTACTGGACAGTGAATTTGCAAACATCTGCTTTAATACATGGCCTGACTTTGATTCGCAGCCTCAGATCTTAGATCAGGCTCTCTCTCTCTCTACTACACACTGAATCATAGAAATGTAGGGTTGGAAGGCACCTCAAGAAATCATCTAGTCTATTCCCCTGCACTGAGGCAGGATTAAGTTTACCTAGACCATCCCTGACAGATATTCATCTAGCCTGTTCTTAAAATCCTCCACTGATAGGGATGCCACAACCTCCGCAGGTAACCTGTTCCAATGCTCAACTATCCTTAAAGTTAGAAAGTTTTTCCTAATTACCTAAATCTGCCTTGCTGCAAGCTAAGCCAATGTGGACAGCTGAAATCTTTTTTTTGGGGGGGGTTAGACTAGATGAACCTTGTGGTCCCTTCTAACCCCTATGAGTCTCTGATTCCCTTGGGGGACATGGAGAACAATTGATCACTGTCCTCTTTAGAACAACCTTTAACATACCTGTTCACCCCAACTAGTCATGACTTTTTGTTTACACCAAAGGTGTTTTTTAAAAAGAAAGAAAGAAAAAGGTATGAAACTGGTAACTGATGATCAACAGAATTAGTGATCGCTGACCTGTGTAAGAGCCTATTGGCAAACAATTCAACAAATTAAAAACTGACATCTGATCTGGTCTTTAATTTTTTGCTGTTTGCAGATATTTATATGATTGAGCTTTTGTTTGGGTGAATGTTCACAAGCAGGGATTTTCTGGGTGATAGCCGTATTTCAGGGCTGGGGATGATGCGTAGTTACACCAAGAAATGAAATTTGTTTCTAGCAGAAACAAAAACAGTTTATAAAGATTAGGGATATCCAGACAGCTGCACTGTAATTTAAAGATCAGAGCCAGTTTGATTTCAGTTATACCAGTGTATGCTCAGAGTAAGTGTTCTTTGAGAGGCGAAAAGCAGTTTCTATTGGTGGAAAAGAGTCTGATGGAATTGCATGTACAGATGTGTATCAAGGGTAAGATATTCCATTTCTAAATGACCCAAGTTTACATACGGCTCCTACTAGCTTGGTTAAGGGCAGTTTCATATTGTCTTCCCTAGTTGATTATTCGCTTAACAGACCCTAAAGGTCTCAGTTTAATTCTCAGCTGCAATAATATGCACATAGGGTTTAAAAAATAATACATTTCATGATTTCAGCTATTTAAATCTGAAATTTCATGGTGTTGTAACTGTAGGGGTCCTGACCCAAAAAGGAGTGGGGGGATCGTGAGGTTATTGAGTGTGTGTGTCTGTGTGTGTGTGGGGGGGAGGTTGCGGTACTGCTACCCTTTCTTCTGTGCTGCTGCTGGCGGTGGCGCTGCCTTCAGAGCTGGGCAGCTGGAGAGCGGTGGCTGCAGGCCGGGAGCCCAGCTCTGAAGGCAGCGCCAGCAGCCGTGCAGAAGTAAGGATGGCATGGTATGGTATTGCCACCCTTACTTCTGCCCTGCTGCTGGCAGGGTGCTGCCTTCAGAGCTGGGCACCCAGCCAACAGCCGCCGCTTTCCGGCCACCCAGCTCTGAAGTCAGCGCAGAAGTAAAGGTGGCAATACTGCAACCTCCCTAAAATAACCTTGTGACCTCCCCCCCCTGCAACTCCCTTTTGGGTCAGGACCCCCAGTCTGAGAAACGCTGATCTCCCTGTGAAATCTGTATAGTATAGGGTAAAAGCACACAAAAGACCAGATTTCACGGGGGGAGACCAGATTTCACGGTCCGTGACACGTTTTTCATAGCCATGAATTTGATAGGGCCCTACACATAGTACACACAGTGATCCTGGCCAATGAATGAATAAGTCCACATTAGTGTCTGGCCACCAACAGTAAGCCTGGCATGTTTCACTCACAGTGAGTACTGAATCAAAACTATTACCAAATTGCATATTGTAATCCTCTATAGAATCCATTATAAAGCATAGGAGGGCAGTATTGTGATTGTAATATGAGAATGATTAGGGCTATGTGTATGCCCAGAATTCTTATAGTATGTTACACTATGTGACATATGGCTTTTTGATGTTCCAGACCTTAGAAGGGCACCAAGGCCCAGTAAAATCCCTGGCCTTTGATCAATGGCATCTAGTGACAGGAAGCTCGGATGGATTTGTCCTGGGATGGAGCATGGTGGGAAAACATAAGCGATGTCTAATGGCTTTCAGGCATCCACAGTAGGTATCATTCACATGTTGGAATCCACAAATAACAAATGTCTACATGTCTCCTATAGCTCTGACTCAATAAAGTGAACTCTGTTACCTGCTTAAGAATATGTCTACATAGAATATGTTAATTCACAGTCCTAACACTTTAAAATTTTCCGTTCTGCAGGGAGGGGTTTTTTGTTTTACAGGAACTCACTGTTATTCAATGGAACAGTGACTCCCGAGTAAAGAATCCCCTGCAGAACAGATGGAATCAAAGTCCTAGGACTGTGTATCTTGCATAAAACTCTTACCTTCACAAGGGAATAGCAGCATTCGATGTTGTCCCATGATACAATAAAGCTAGACATTTGGGAAATCTATTATGTATGATATTATATATGGTGATGAAGAGGTCTTCAAGTGTACAGAAAAGCACTGATTGACTAAATACAAGGGGTGAAATCCATGCCCTATTGAAGTGAATGGGTGTTTTGCCATTGACTTCCAATATGGCCAGGATTTCACCCATGATAATAATATACCTTCACGAAACATTATTAAGGTTGCAAAGTCGAAAACTCCAAAGTTAGGTATGCCAAAATTAAGGTTGCCTGTGCAACCTTAAATCAGTCCTCTTACGCGTATGCATTATGATACGGTATTTTAGTACATGCTCATATACCGCCAAATTTCAAGTCCCTGCTCCAAAGCATAGTGATACTAGAATTGTTCAATAAAAGGTCACAACATTTTTAATAAGGAGAAAAACAATGTGTTTTTCCTTTGCCTTGTTATCAAAACAGCTAAATCATTTTGACTGAAATTTCCCAAAAACATTCAACATGAGGCAGACACCCAACATGGTAAATTTCAGCGCAGTTACAGTTAGACAGAGTTATAAGCCACTGGAAAGTGGGTTTTATAGCAGGAAGTGTCAGGCAACCTTAAAAATAGGTGGAGATTCTAATCCTGCCTATAATTAGTATGATGTGAGGGCAGGTGAAAAAACAGAATAAACAAAACACAATTCTTTGGCAGAAAAACTAATTCAGATCTTATGCCTTCTGGATGTAAACTGTAAAGACTTAGATGCAAATGCTCCCAGCCATGACGAATGTTAACATCTAGGACTCAATCCACCTAAATTTGGGGTGCTCTTATCCCAGTCCAGGAGCAAATGACCCACTGTGAGTCAAGGAGTTCAGAAAAACAAGATCATTCCCACCTCTTTGCTACTGACATAGAAGCAGGGATGATTTAAGATAAAATGGGATCCAGATACACCAAAATTTCAGGAACCTCTAATATATATTCAACAGCATGTTAAGCTACATATTTTGGCAGAAAAGACAAACAGAAGATAGTGCATATGTGAAACATGGAGGCATTAGTTTTGTTGTGGAAACCATTCCCTTTGCATATCATGACATTTTGTGATTTTAACTGTGCTGTGATAAGACTACATCACCATACTGTTTGCATTTACTTTCAGAGGTTATTTAAAGGAAGAGATGTGATTGAAAATGCCTACTGGCAAAACTAATAAGCCGCGACTGGTCTTAAACACAGTGGTTGCTACGAATGACCGCTTCATTCATTTTTTGAGCATGCATATGTCCAATAAAATGACTTCATAATTTTGGCCATCTCTCCATTCCGAAGGCAGTAATGATTAGGAAGGAATTTGCTGGGTGACTTTCATCCGCCTCAGCCTCCTTTAAACCGGACTAGTTCTCTCATCTACCCTGCAGGCAGAGATGGACCTGCTTCACTCACCATCAAAGAACCTTGTTATTTCAATCTTCTCATGTAGGAATAAGGAATGTGCTTATGCTCTGGTGTTTTGTTTTCAGGGAAGTCCTGTATCTGGCGTTTCTGTATCTCCGAGTCATCAGTGGCTGCGCTGATGGAAAAATACGTATATTTAACTTCCTGACTGGGACCTGCCTGAAGGTGATGAGGGCCAATAGCAGAGGTGACCCTGTGGTGTCCTTCTGCATTGTAGAAAATAGGTGGGTAATAGCAGTTGCACTCAGACTCTGAGCCAGTTAGACAGATCGTGTTGCTCAAGAAATCATGTCCTTTTTACAGCCCTAACAGGTGGGTTTTTTTAGAGGATTCTGCTGGTTTATTGACTATGGATCACTGCAATATGTTATTCTATTAAGTAGGTGTGGTGTTTTGGTTCAGATTTCAATCCAAACTTCCCCAAAACATGGGATATTCACCCTGATGTTTAGATTCAGGCCTATTTCAGAGATAGGGCAAAGCTATAAAGTGGGATCAAGATTCCGATCTGAATTTCCTCAGAGTTTGGGTGGGTTCAGGATCAGGCCCACGTGTGCTCTTAACACACCAGTGTTCTACTGCATTTTCATAAATGTAGGAGATCAAAAAGGCCTACTTGTCACATCCATCCTTCTAGACAAGAGTAGGCTTGTTCCCTACAGTCTGTTCCCAGTGTTCTTTCACCCAGATTCAAGGGTCCCTAGCAATGGGACAACCACCATTTCTCTTGGGAGCTATTTCACAGCCTAACAGTCAGAAAATTTTTCCTTTTCATGATTTCATCCCATTATTCCCAGTTGTACCTAGCAATGAATGAACTCAACAGTGTTCTTTACATTCAGATTACATTAATTGGAATGTGCTGGGTCTGATCACCAGGACTGGCAACAATCTAAACACTGCTCATTTTCTTTTCCGCAACCAAGCAATTGCAACTTCAATTCTAGTTATGCACCTCAGCATCTGTAACAGTGCACGCAAGCAAGCTGGCACAACAGGTAACTGCTACACCATTATTACAATGTGTGTTTCTTAGCACTGTTCCTCTCCCCTTCCTAGGATGGTGATCAATGCTCTGAGTAGCGTACTGATGTTCCAGTTTGAGGATGTAGAGTGGGACTACACGCTACAGGCCGACCGAGAGGAAGTAACAAAGGATAAGGAAAAGCACAAAGAAATCAGGGTCAGAGTGCAGCCCTATCCGTATGTTCGTGCTCAGCACATGAAACGGGATGCAGCCAGCCACAGGAAGATATATTATTCCGAGGAGAAACCAGATGAGGACCAGATAATGTTGGCATACCTGATTCGCCGTCGGTCAACAAGGGGTTCCGGGACACCTTCAGGTACCATATACACCTCTTGCAGTGCACTGTGTTAAAGGGGCAGCCTCAACCTGAAATCTAGTCAGTTTAAAAAAATGAGTTAGGAAATATTTTCAGGTACCCACTGTCCTAGCCCAATCCCCCACCATTGTCCAGGGATGTGTGCTAGACGGCTGCTGCATTTCAGCAATGCTATATATTTTGTACGGCCCTTTAGGATCCTCTGAGAAGCAGGGTGCATTAGAAACTTGAGGCCCTAACTCAGCAAGCTATTCAAGTGTCTAACTTTAAGTACACCTGTACCCCGATATAACGCGACCCAATATAACACAAATTCGGATATAACGCCATAAAGGAGTGCTCCAGGGGGGCGAGGCTGCGCACTCCGGCAGGTCAAAGCAAGTTCGATATAACATGGTTTCACCTATAACACGGTAAGATTTTTTGGCTCCCGAGGACAGCGTTATATCGGGGTAGAGGTATATGTGAGTAGTCTCACTGAAGTCAGTGGGATTACTCATGTGCTTAAAGTTAGGCATACGCTTAAGTACCTGCTGAGTGGTGCACCAATTATTACTTATTTTAAAATTTCCCCCCACAGTATAAGTCTTAGCAGCATCTGTGATCAGACTTCACAACCAAGATGAAGACTAAATCCACACAGGCTTACACTCTTCAAACTGTAACATTCCGATGCAGTTTGAGTCTATGGGTGGCTACTGAATCCAAATTGTGATGCAGAAACCTGCAACTCTGAGCTTGTGCTCTATATCGCAGACACCACATGTCTGAGACACGGCGAAGCTCGTGTCTTTGAGTCCTAAAATATTCATTAGAACAAAAACAGTGTGAAGAAATTCACAGCTTAGATTCCATTTCAGTCCTTTAGTGCAAGACCATTAAATGTCTTAATATCATAAATGCAGGGCCATCTCAGCTACTTAAGATTGTTAAAACAGTCGTGTGGCATTAACACCCAACACAGCCATTCACCTGTCTGAAGACCCATGCGTTGCAAGGAGACAGGCAATAGAGAGGGAATGAACCAGATTCCAACCTCGGTAAATCCTCAGAGTCAGTGATTGTAGAATCTATGGATTTACACCAGCATAATCCAGATTTGAATCTTTCCCAACAAGGAGGCATGGAGCTATCATTATCTTCCAAGCTTCTCTGACACTTTTAGCTTCTCAAACATTTGTAGGTATTTTTCAATCAACCATGGCTCGCTAACTTTAGAAGTTGGAACTAGAAACAAAATAGTAATTGAAAGCCAGAAGACTCAAAAAATACATAGATAATGATGACCTTGGTAGATAAAAGACAGTTAGCTTTAAAAGCTTAATGCTACAGGATTAATCCATTTCTTGCAGGTCTCCGTTATGAATTTGTGAAGGCACCTGCTCACCGATCAAGTCAGACTTTGCAAAGGAGCATGGGTTGCCTTGATATAAAGCCAGACCAAAAGAAAAGGTCCGCTCTTCCTGGGAAACGACAGGCCTATAGCAGTGATTCAGAGGACTCGGGTCGAACATACGGTGCAACAACACCACAAAGCTTGTCAGAGTCTGGTAAGAGATCTTGGTGGCAAGAGGCTACGGTGATGGTTGCATTAGAAATATCGAAGATAGATAGATTATATGGTAAGGGGTAATATGCTCTGGGTAAGAGGCCTGCAATAAATGAGAAGTTTTATCTGGAGTCCGCACTGGGTAAGTGCATCTCTTTGGGGCCTGCAATGGTTATGAGGCTGTTTTAGGTCAGGCAGATGAACAGACATTAAATCAAGTGATCTCTTCTAACTGTGACTCCTAGAAAAGTTATGTAATATTTGGGTCCATTTCTTCCCCTATGCAATTATTGCTACTCTTTAGATTTCCTTTTAAATGTCAAAGTCACCTTGATTTACTAAAAAAGTAACTTTTTCTGGGGAGGGAAGGAGAGGGTTTCCACACACAAGTTCTCAGAAGAAATGGTTAGCTACTATTTAAATGCCAATATTAGTTTGCTCAAGGAACCACTCTGTAAATACATTTTGTTCCAATATGGCTGAGCCAGCCAGCAAGGTGGTTTTACATTGAAATTTGACAAGATAATCTAGAGATCACAGGTGTGCTCCTTGGTGATCTGATGGAAATCATTTTTCTTCTCTGTTGTATTGTTTGTATTAGTGTATTTTAATTTTGTCTGGGCAGCCCCGAGCGTTGGTTGGGGCTTTATTATTTTTTAGAATAGATCTAGGCTGGATACAGTCCTTCATGATGTTCCCACAGCTTTCATATTTCCTATGGCTTGTATTGGATCAAATTCTGTCCTCAATGGCGGCTGTAGCTGAGAGCAGAATATGGCTCTTAATGGTTTTCTCACTGGAGAAATGAGCTGTGATAAAGGGAAACCTTACAGTGACTCTTCCCACTCCAATGAGCGCTTCATTGGCTAACACAGTGGATTAGAGAAGCCAATGGCATTTTATGTACTGGCAGAGGAGTTTTAAATTCAGAACTGGTTGGGGATTATAACCGAATCCCAAAGAGTCTGAGGACAGAGAAGAGAAGCTGTGGACATGTTGGTAAGCTACCTAGACTATGGAAAAGGTAGGTTAGGATGAAGTGGGGTAAGGAGAGGGCAAAAAGACAAGTAATATTAACAATAGGTTAAAGATTGTGAAACGGGCACAAAGAAAGGGTTCGTAAATAGGAAAACCTGAACAAGAAGCAAAAGATCTGGAGCCAGCAAGGTAAAAACTACAGAAAAGTCATGAAAATAACTTTTAATAAATAGAAGTGGGATTTAATGGCAAAATTTGAATCCCTGTGTGGATTTGGATTTCAAACTCCCACGGGACAAGATCTTCAACTGGTGTAAATTGGCACAGCTCCCCTGAAGTCAACGGCATGACACCACTTTATGCTAGCTGAGGATCTGATCCCTAGTATTCAGAGGTGTTTGGATCTTGGGTTCGCATCAGGCCCATCTCTACCTGGAGATTACTTAAGTTAATACTCCACATTTACCTATACCTGGCAAGAACAGTGTCCTTAATGCTGTGTGCTCTATATTGCTATATTTCTCATTTTAAAATCCCTAGTATTTCTTAACTTTGGGCATAATCAGATCATCTTGGAATGATGATGAAAGACGGGGATTGGCCCACTTCATCACACAACAAAGACCACTCTCCAAAATGTTCAGACATCAGAAGCTCCATGCCTTGTTCACCTTGAGCTTTCCAATTCTAATCCAGTTCAGATATGTAATGGCCAAAAGTTGTTACCATCTGATTGTTGTTCAGCGGCTTATGTTGGAAACTGACTTGGCATTTTGAGTTCACTTACTGGCATCTCTGTCATGAGACCCAATTCTGCTCCCATTAGAAACCATGACTTCAAGGAAACCAGGACAGGTGTCAAAGCACCCACAAACAATCATCCACCCAGTGTCCATAGATTATTTTATCACCTACAGACTATTGCAACTGGCACTCTATAGATAACTAACATAGAATTGTCCTTTGACCTGACTGTTGGCAGTCAGGTCAAAGAATGATGGTGACTGAGTCCATGAAGAGGGTCCTCTGCTACCCTTAGGATGGACACACATCAGACAGGACAGCCTTGGGGAAGCTTGCTCTGCTGCTCCTCATGCTGTGCTTGTTCTGTGGGTAAACACAGAAATTCAGTCTCCAGGACTGTCACTTTAGTGCCCATTATCAGCCCCCTTTGGGGATTCCATCTCTCCAAGGACCACCACCACCAGCTCACTGTAAAATCACTTCCATATATACGTATCTACATAGAGTCAGATATTTTTTTCTTTTCTTCATGTTTATCTTTGGAAATAGATAGTGAATCTGGCTACGACTCTCCGGTCCATGCATCTTCACTCGCTGAAAACGCAGAGGCCGCTTTACAGCGTATAAAGAAACGAGGCCCGCATTGTCCCACTTCTCCTGACCAGATCCTCCTGACTGTTAGCACGCTGCAGCACACCTACAAGCCAGACCAAGTCAGCTCCAATATGCTACCCCTTGCAAAAATCAGAGATGTCGGGGGACCTCGGCTGGGCCCCCAGGAACGCCCTAAAAAGATGTTGTCATACAAAATCCCTAAGCAAGAGAAAAAGGATCAGTCCACCCAACTCAGACACATTAAATCTGCCAGTGGCTCTCTGATTATGAAAAGAATGTCCACACCCTTTGAAACCAAAAGACTGCAGCTCAACTTGAAGAACTCTTTGCATGGGTCTGCAGTGCACTCTTTCATTCCTGCTCCAGTGATTGTACGCTCCAAGTCATGCTGCAGCTTGCCAGAAGAGAAGAAGGTTCATACTGGCCATGGCAGAGCCACTTCCCTATCTGAGGGTGGGGCTCAGTTGATTGGCCACTTAACGAGCTCAGCTGAATCCATCAAATCGACACGCATGATGATCGCACAAACTAAAATTGAAGCAGGGCCCCGGAGAGAAAGTCCCCTCTTCTTACAAACCGCAAATCCTTACCGGCTCAACACCGGGTTCAGGCTTCTGACAGTGAAGCAGATGAAAATGTATGAAGAAGCTACAGCTGTTGAGTATCAAGCTCACCGAACAAAACGTATAGCAGACCAGCAAAAAGAGTGCAGGAAGGCCTGGTTAAAGAAAATTAAAGGCCTCCCTATAGACAATTTCACCAAGGAGGGAAAAATAGCTGCCCCCGAACTTGGGCTTAATGTGTATGTCTGAGAGAAGCTCCTTAAGGCACACTACCAGCTCTTTTAAAGAAATAAATGCAAACAAATAGATGGGATTTGGGGCTTCTTGGGTTGCTCAAATTGTTTGATTCAGCTCTGGTCCCCATTTGCGGATACCATCTCATGGCCTTCAATGTTCTGTTGGGGGAGGGATTATATAAGGAACACTGCATGACTCTTCAAGAAAATATTATTGACATAGTTAAATAGTCCTCACAACAGCCTATGAGATTATTATTCAGCTGGGCCTAGTGTTACTGTAGACTGATTTAAATGTGATCATCAGCATCTCCCCTTGTGATCACCACACAGTGCTATTCTTGCAAGTTTTCCACATGAGGCCTCAGACAAGCTCCAAGAGGCTGATCATCTGACCTATGTTTTGAGCAAGGGGTGCCTGACCCTTGCAATCCTGGGGGCAATTCACCAGGTGTCTGAGCCACATCAAATGTGCATATTTATTATACAAAATAAATGTACCCAACCATAACAATTCTTTGTACTTGTATCTTCCTTGTTGGACTGTAATTGAAACTGCTTGTTCTGAGAGAGAGAACTGTACATACAAGCAGACAGCATCAAGGAGCCTTGCACATCTCTACTCTAGCATAGATTGCTTCCGTACTGAAAAATTTACATGGATTTTCCTATGAGACCAATTTTATTAGTGTCAAGTTCACCCTGAATAAAGGGTCAGTACAAGGCCTTTTCTTGCTTAAATCTTACTTTGAGGGCTTAAGAGGGATGAAAATAGTGCATAGGCCTAGTGCTGGGTCTCTGCACAGGGGTGAATTTCATCCTATCTTCCCTAGAAATTTAGTTGCATTTAAACTTGATTTTTAACAGTTGAGTTAGTTAACACACTGCTGACAGTCAGTGCAGATGTACTAGGGTTTACCCATCGGTATCTGACACAATGTGGAACACGATTTATCCTTGCGGATGCTGACCAGTAAGTTGTTGTCAGCATTGTCACCTAACTCAAGATTAAAAATCATGTTTAGACATGATTAAATTTCCTAGTGAAGACAAGCCCTTAGAGTGCATGAGACCCTCTTTCCATTGAAAGGATTGGACCCAGTGGATTGACTATAGGAATGTGTTAAATTACTTAGACCATGGCTTTATATTTGTTATCTGCAAGGCACAGACAACCACAGTAAATGGATTAATCAGTCAACTCAGGGTTCTTATATAGCATCAGGACATACAATTTCAGTGTGTTCAACTGTGCTCAGCTCCCTCTCTCAGCTGCAATATTTTCCTCCACCTGTAGTTTACAAAATTAAATCAATTTTGGTTTTAATTAGAACTTAATTGGATACCATTAACCTCAAAAATCATGTTAAATCCCTTGTCGGTCATGTGACCTGAGATTATTAAATTGAACTAATTTTTAAAAATGTATTTTAAGATCTACATTTCATTTTTGTTTGCATTTCACTTATTTTGGATGCGGTAATTAAGTTGTTTGGTAGTCAGTTTCACATTCTGGTTTTCATACACTAGCACAGTGCTGTAGTTTGGGTCTCCATTATTGCTCTGGAGCGTACAAGTCTGCAGGAACAAGGCCCTTGTTTGTGAAGTGCTCTTTATTACCACACGTTTGGCCTGATCCAGACAGGTGCTGCCCACCCATAACTCTGAGTCATGTCAAAGGGAATGTGGGTTCTCATCTCCTCCCAGGCCTTTTCTCCCCTCATTGTCTGCATTTTCACTAGCATTTGGATGCTTGAGTCAACCAGTTACGTGCTTTAAGTATTTATTTATAGAGATAATAGGAAATATTGCTTTAGATGTTCAGACTCATTCCCAGAAGTTCCATTCACTCAGGGGCAAGTACAAATTAGTAGAAAGCTGATACTGTTGGGAATACGCAAGGATAAAACTTTGCAAGATGAAAATACTTCTTGATTCTTTCACTGGTTTTGAACTACTCATTTTAAAAAAATTAAATCATTACTGATTCTACATATTATACAAGAGCTGAGCAAACTCATTCTTACCCACGCAGATCTCCAAGTTGAAGAGATGGTGAGGAATAAGGCTTAAGTATTTTTTCTTATACTTGACAAAACAGTTAAGCCCCCATACTACTCCCGCTGCAGTAAAACTAATTTTGACTTCACATATGCAGAATAAAGTGATGTCACCTACAGTTATTCTGCAAAGATTCGCAAACAATGAAAAGCAGAAAAAATGTTTTTAAAATTGGTGATTTTAAAAATTGATTGCCTTCATAAACCTTCTGTGCCAGGTAAGGTCTGTAATAGGCATTGTGCTATACTAAACTTATTATGACTTACAGGATGGAAAAAAAGTAGTTTCTGCTTCCTAAAATAACTTTGTAATTTTGTTTTCTTTCCACAATCTTTTGTGATTCCCAAACAAACCAAATTACTTCTAAAATAGAGAGATATCTGTATCTGGAGCAGTAGGAGCCATCAGTAATAGCACCAATAGGAAGTTTTCCCTTACATTCCTTGGCACACGCAAGGCTTACTGGCTTGATTCTACCTCACATACAAGAGTCTTAATCAGGAATCTCTCAACTGAAGTTGAGTTATTTGGGTGTAAAACTGATGGGAGAAGAGAATCTGGTCCTAAGAGTCAGAGAAGATTAAACACAACCCAAGATAAATCTTGAAGACATCTCTAAGGATACTTGGCATAGAAACCTGCAGCTGTATATACCCAACAGCTTGCTAAGCCAGGAGTTTTTCCTACTTTTTCATTGCTTGGACTGCATCTTAACAGAGATGCCTGCTCCCCTCCCTTCAGCAACTGCATATGCCACCCTGCTTCAGGTGGTGACTGAAAAACATATTCTGGCAACTACAGCAATTGCTCATGTGGAAAGGAAAGAGCTGGAAAATGCTGAACATACTTTTAGGGCTGGTCTACACTGGGGTGAGGGGGGGGAAATCGATCTACGATACGCAACTTCAGCTACGTGAATAGCGTAGGTGAAGTTGAAGTATCTTAGATCGATTTACCTGGGGTCCACAAAGTGCGAGATTGACGGCCGCGGCTCCCCCGTCGACTCCGCTACCGCCACTCGCTCCGGTGGAGTTCCAGAGTCGACAGGGAGTGCGTTCGGGGATCGATATATCGCGTCTTAATGAGACGCGATATATCGATCCCCGATAAATCGATTGGACATACCCTTAGTATCTTTTAATGCTGTTGAGCAGCTGGAAACATTGAGGACCAAACATCACAATTTGGATCTTGGTGTGCCAAAACTAGGAGCAGGGCAGACTTAGCAGTAGTTGTAACTGCAGAGCCCTTTCTAAGGCCTTATCTTTGCTGCTGAAAAAGGTGCAATTTTTACCTCAGGTTTACTAATGCACATGAGCAATCCCAAGGGAAAAAAATACAGTGAAGTCAAGACATTTTAGTAAATTAGACAGGTCCATCTGCAGTTGGCCTCACCTAGTGTACCCATGATCAATCTAAAGTGCCTTGTCTCATCATGACTGTGTTTATAAGTCAAGATAGCTCTCATGCATTAGTTACCTTGAGTTAAAGAATGCATCTTTCTTAACAGTAAAGAGAAAGCAACATATGTGAAGGGAATTCACAGCAGTGTCACTACATTGCTAGCTCAGTGGTTTGAGCATTGGCCTGCTAAACCCAGGGTTGTAAATTCAATCCTTGAGGGGGCCATTTAGGTTACTGGGGTAAAAATAAATAAATCAAAAAACAAAATCTGGGGATTTGCCCTGCTTTGGACTAGATGATCTCCTGAGGACCCTTCCAACTATGATTGCTATAAATCCCTACCTTGGGACTGGTCTGCACCTAAAACTTAAGGCACCCTGGCTCCATCGCTCAGGTCTGTGGGAGTGAGGCGTAGGTAAGTTAACCTAACCCCCTCCTGTAATGCAGACAGGCCAATGGAAGAATTCTTCCCTTGACCTAGCTGCTGCCTTTCGGAGAGGATTTACTACCTTGCTGCTGCAGGGTTTGCAGTGGTGCTGGGCTGACAGCACTACAGCTCCCTGGCACACGGCACCTCTCCCCAGCACCAGGCCCTCCCAGCCATGCAGTTACCCGGGCCGACGCGCCGCGGGGAAAACCGCCCGGCTCCGATCCCCTAACACGGGGGTGGGGGCTGCTCTGGGGACCTTCCAGCTGACAGGCGCCGGCCCGGCCGCGGGGCAGGGAGCCTGGAGAGGCCGGTGCTGGGGAGAGGACGGCCTTGCAGTGCCCCAACGCCAGGGTAGGCCCTGAGGAGCCGCTGGGGCCTACACGGGGTCCTGCCGAGAGCCCGCGCCGCCAGGGTAACCAGCCGCTCTCATCTCCGCTGCCAGGCGCTGTCATTCACGCGTTGTTCCTGCGCCCACCTGGCGCGGCGTGATGACGACACGCGACGGGCGGGGCTCACGTGAGGGATTGGCCCCGGGCGGTGACGTGGCGGGAGGCGGAAGTGAGGCGGCTCCAACGATGCTACGGCAGGTGAGGAGGGTCCCGCGGCGCCCGGGGTTAGTGGGGTTGCCCCTCGGTCTCCGCTGGCAATGGCCTGGCGCGGAGAGGGGCCAAGGGTCAGAGGCCAAGGGTCAGGGGTCGGTGATTGAAGAGGTAGGAGGAGGGTTCATGGCTCAGAGGCCACCACGGGAGGGTGAGCAGAGCTGGCGGTGCCGCCGTCGGGGCGGAAAGGGTTCAGGGCAGGCGGCGAGCTGGGGTCGGAGGGCAGGGGGTTCAGGGCTGGCGGTTAGCTGAGGTTGGAGGGCAGGGGTCAGGGTGGAATGGGGTTCAGGGTAGGCGGTGAGCTGGGGTCGGAGGGCAGGGGGTTCAGGGCTGGTGGCGAGCTGGGGTCGGAAGGCAGGGGGTTCAGGGCTGGCGGTTAGCTGAGGTTGGAGGGCAGGGGTCAGGGTGGAAGGGGGTTCAGGGTAGGCGGCGAGCTGGGGTCAGAGGGCAGGGGTCAGGGTGGAAGGGGGTTCAGGGCAGGTGGCGAGCTGGGGTCGGAGGGCAAGGGTCCGAATGGAAGGGGTTCTGGGCAGGTGGTGATCAGGTCAGAGCAGTTATTTCAGGGCGTGGGAGCATAGCAAAAGAATTACTAGGAGATGGGGGGGGGGCAGGTTAAGATATGAATACCAGGGATCTACTGCTGCTTGGAGGTAGGGGGCTTGTGAGGAGCCCTTTTTTAAAAACAATACTTTAAGTGAAATACTTTTAAAACACCAAAATATTTTTACTAAAAATAAGCAATAATTGACCCGAAAATAAACGCACGTGGATAAACACTAGTAACTGGAAATCTTAACTCAGGGATCGGCAACCTGCGGCCTGTGGCCTGCCAGAGTAAGCTCCCTGGTGGGCTGGGCCGGTTTGTTTGCCTGCTGCATCTGCAGGTTCAGCTGATCGCAGCTCCCACTGGCCGCGGTTCCCCGTTCCCAGCCAATGGGGGCTGTGGGATGCGGTGTGGGCCAAGGGATGTGCTGGCTGCTGCTTCCCGACGCTTCCTGCAGCCCCCCATTGGCCTGAAGAGGCGAACCGCAGCCAGTGGGAGCTGTGATTGGCCGAACCTGCAGATGCGGCAGGTAAACAAACTGGCCTGCCAGGGAACTTACCCTGGCGGGCTGCATGCCAAAGGTTGCCGATCCCTGTCTTAACTAAACCATTTGCCAATTACTGCTTAATTAGGATTTATATTGTGGTAGCACCAGTAGGCCCTAGTCAGGGATCTGGATTTCATTGAGCCAAGTAAATGCAAAGAACAAAGACATGAATGCTTTTCATTATTAAACCTCTTGCAATCTTCAATAATCAGTTATTTAACAGAACTATAGAAACTCTTATAGGAAAGGAGTCTTAACAGTGATGTGATATATTTGTAGATGCCAAGGAATTATGCCAAATTTTGAAAATGACGCACATAAAAAATGACCAGATTGTTTTTTTATCCTGCAAATGCTTAAACTCATGCTTAACTTTAAGCATGTGAGTAGTCCCTGGGACTACTCCTATACTTAATCAGTTGTTTGATTGTTTGCAAAATCAGGGCTGACATGTGCCATTGTATTGTGTAGTGTTCATCAAATAATTAAAAAAAAAAAAACAATCCAGGATCAGACATTCAGGGACATGAACTTACAAGCATAACTCAAGTTTAATATAAATTCATAAAGCCAATGCAGACAAATACATGGAACTTTGAAAAAAGCTCAGTTGTGCGAATGCTTGAGATCTCTCAATGAAGACTAATTTCTAACACTGTATTACATCAACACTGAATTTGACCCATGACCTGTGTATTGGGCTGGGGTAGTCCACTGTGCCGAGTGGTAAGAGTCGTAAAAACAGTTAGGGCAAATTTGAGCAGATTCCTGAATTGAATGGGAAGCCAGAAGGATTTTGAAGAATGCATGATGTGATTTTCTTTGTATGCATAGCAACTCTGCAGCATTCTGCATGCGAGTGACTCCAAAGAGCTTGGACTTGGGCAGGCCTTACAGAAAGGATCTGCTGTACAGTGAAGGCAGGAGAAGATCCTCTATCTTAGTTTTGTAAACTCTGTGATAAAGATGTGCCAGATGTTTTTTTAAAATGCTACCTTGTCACACAAACACCTGATTTAGTGTTAATGGCAGTTAAGTGTACCCATTGAAAGGAAAATTTACCTCACTGGAGATACCTGAGGGCTTGTCTACACATAACATTTGTACTGATTTAACTATATCTGTGTAGCTTAAGCGATACAACCCTCTTAATGTGGATGCAGTTATACTGGTATAAAGGTGTTTACATCAGTATAGCTTATTCTCACATGGAAAGGAGAATAAGCTATATCAGCGAAGGCCCCTTTATACTGGCATAACTGTCCACACTAGGGGTTGTACCCTTATAACTATTTTGGTAAAAAAATCACACTCTTTACTGAAATAGTTATACCAATGCAAAAAGTATGTGTAAATCAGATTTTAGACAAGTAACTTCCAACTTCTGAGAAATAGACAGCCCCTAATTTCACCATTTATGTCCTCTGTGGAACCCTAATATAACATGGACAAGCCGAGGTTTATGCCTCTGAAAATAAACAAGAAGTCCAGAAATGCTCAAAAGGAATGAGGCTGCGTATATAAAGGACTTACATTAAGACCTGAGGTTACCCTGCTGTTTGCAAAAGGGCCCTTTGGACTCAAAGCATGTGTTTAAGATGGTCTTCACATGATGCAAGATGAAGGCGACAGTGTTTAAACAGTTTGGGGTGTATGTGTAATTTCTGTTGCATTTGGTTAATTTCCAAGTTCTTTGACCTTAAGTTCTCATCAGAATAATTCTGGATAATCAAAACCATCCTCTTTTTGCATCTGAAAATACTGTATCAATTACTTCTCTTGTAACATTTCGTATCTGTCTGCCACTTTAGGACAGTAATGATGACACTGAAGATGTGTCACTGTTTGATGCAGATGAAGAAGTATCCACGAGATCAAAAAAGTCAAAGATAAGGTCTGTGATCAGTAGAAATTGTTCCTTCATGGGTTCCACCCAGAAATGTGGCAGAGGCAGGACTGGCGTGTTTGTTCTTGTTTGTTTCGTGTCTACTTATTGGTGCAAGAGCAGTGAGTTTCTCTCTTAGAAGTGAATGTCATGTTTTAAAGAAATGTTTCCTGGCAAATGGGAAGGGTAGGAGGCTTACTCATGAATTGCTGAAGAATTTAATCTTACACTAAAAAAAGTCCACGTCTTTATGGTTGCGATGGTCCCTATGTTGTCTGTGTGCAGACTCAGGAACACAGTCTGAAACAATAAGAGGTGTGAACTGGCCAAAATACTGGCTCCAGTGCACTGCGTCTTGTGTAATAGGGAGTTTTTCAGGACATAGAGGGAGGAATCCTTCTTTCTAGGCCACTCCATGAGCATTTCTCCAGTCTCATGTCTGGAATAGCCTCTGTTCTGTTTCCCTTTTTCCCCTTGCATGCCATATCATAGTGGCTGATCCAGCAGCCTCACTCCTGCTTTACCCCCAAATGCGCTGTACAGCCATACACAGGGAGCTCCTGTAGAGTAAAGCCTCTTTGAAATGGAAACGCACCAGAGCAGACCGTGAAAAGAGCAGCATTTCCCTATAGAGAGGTGCTATCTGTTTCTGTTCAACTCAATAGAGTGTTGGTCTTAATGTTACCACACAAAAACTGCTACATATTGAGTACTTCTGAGGGGCTTCACCTGCTCCCTTCTTCTCTCCCACCTCAAATCCTGCATGCACTTTGAACAATGGCCACAGGCAGGATAAGTCTGTTGAGTTATCTCCTAGAGCAGTGGTTCTCCACTGGGGGCGCTGCGGAGGGCAGGTTTCAGGAGGTCCACCAAGCATGGCCGGTGTTAGACTTGCTAGGGTCCAGGGCAGAAGGCCAAAGCCCAGCTGCCCAGGTCTGCAGCCAGGGGCCCCGAGCCCCATCACCCGGGGCTGAAGCCAAAGTCTGAGCAACTTAACTTTGTGGTCTCCCCTGTGGCGTGGGGCCCCGGGCAACTGCCCTGCTTGCTATCCTTTAATGCCAGCCCTGGCTTTTATATGCAGAAAAACAGATGTGGCACAGCTGGGCCATGGAGTTTTGATAGCATGTTGGGAGGGGCCTCAGAAAGAAAAAGGTTGAGAACCTCTGACCTAGAGGACTTTGTTATGCTATAAGAATGATGTGTACTAGTGCTGCGATGCTCATCTTTGCCACTGTTGTCAGCATGCTCTGCAAACTGGCCTCATTTAAAGGAATTTGCCCTCCTAGGCTGTGCAGATGAAAAAAATCCTCTTCTGCCTTGAGAGAACATGTCATCTCTTTACCAAGTGGCTTCAGTCTTGTTTCAGAGACATGTGACTGAATTGTATTTCTGATGTATTGGTTACAGGCACCCAGTGGCATCATTTTTCCACTTGTTCTTCCGAGTCAGTGCAATAGTTGTCTATCTTCTCTGTGAACTGATCAGCAGCAGCTTTATTGCCTGCATGGTGTCAATTATCCTGCTCCTGTCGTGTGACTTTTGGGCAGTAAAGGTAAGTCCCCTTTCATCACTTTAAAATATTATTTCAAGAGAGCAATAGGCCAGGTCAAACTGTCTGAATATGTTTGGCTTTGTTCAAAAATAAAGTCAACTCTTTTAGATCCTGCAAGTTATGAAACATTACAATTTGTTATGAAACATTACAATTTCTTTAAGAA